TATTGTGCATACAAATTTAAAAAATACCGTATAATTCCTTAGATGAAATTACACAAAAGCAAGAAAAGACGCAAGATTATTGTTTTCACCAATACGAAAGTCCATAAATCACATGGATGTTATGATACTGTATAGAACCATTTTTATATATTTGACAAGTTTGTCAAAAGCTGCAGGATAGGCCAGTATAGTGTATACAGACCCGCACAAAAGTATGTCACAATCAGGACACGTTGAAGGTCGTCATCACGTCCCACACACCAGCAGCAAACGGCAACTGAAGCTGTTACCAGATGCAGGTTTTAACAGAGCTTCTGCAAAATCGTAAGTCACATTTAATAATTTAAAATTCACTTCAATTCCATTCTCCGTTCATTGGGTTTTAAAACCTGTATGAAAAATATTTTGCCACAGATACCCGACAGTGAAAATTATTTTTTTTAAATTAGTAATTAATTTTTAATACATTATTATTAATATGATGAATAAAGTACAGACAGTAAAGTTGGCAATTTCAATAAAATCTATTTCTTTTTTAAGTTTTGTCTTGAAAAAAAAACCTCGAACTCAGAATTTAAAACAAGCATTGGATGTTACTGTAATTGAAATCAATGTGAATGACATTAATAGTGTTGTCGTTTCAATCTAAAATAAAATATCGGTGAACAACTGTTTTGAATGCACATACAATAAACAGGTAAATAAAGTTTTTGAAATAATGTAAAATGAATATTAACGCAATATTTATTTCGTAAAAAAATCTTAATAAGAAGATAAAATCGAACCAATGTTTTCTTGTAGATTTATTTTCAGATATAGAGACTGGTTTAGAACTATAAAACCTTTAAAATATTTTTTTTCTTCAAATTTAGTAATAAATGTATTAAAATTGTCAAAAGCTAAAGAGGATTAGATAATTTATCCTATATCAGAAGTGGTTCAATTAATATGGTCAATGAACAACTTATAGGTATATTTAGTTGAAATATCAAATTACAGTTCAGATCTATTTATAAAAGTATAAGTGTTTTTAGCATATTAACCTCTTTGTCACTTTAAATCCAAAATCATTGAAATTTCCAGCCCTTCTTTATGAAATTAATCGATAAACACCAGTATTTGTACCACGACATACTAATGCTAGACTAAGTGTGTAAAATACATTATAGCATTATGTAGATGTAGAAAATGAGAATAATTCTTGGCACCTTTCTTTAATATGTCTATTTAAAAGACCATAGAGAAAAAATATCCGCAATAAAGAAAACATTCCTTGCATTTTTACCAGAGGGTCATTTTTTAGATTAAAAATCAGATTTGGTTTTTGTTAAAGCAAGTTTTCTTTCAAACCTGAGACTTTTGATCTTTCACATTCTGTTGCTGATCGTTTCATTCCTAGCCTTCACCACACAGACTTCAGTTGACAAATATCCTGAAACAGTCAAAGAAAATAAATGTATATCATCAAATTTTTACAGAGGTACAATATGTATGAGTAACTTAACATTGATATTCCCTACTAAAAACCAAGACAAAAGAAAGAGATCAAATTACTAAGATTCCTCTTGCTTCTATACATACAGACATAAAAACGGATAGACAAGACAGACAGAAGGACAGACAGAATGAAAAATTAGTCCTAATATCCTCCTTTTACTTGTACAAATTTGTTATAAAAGTATAAATCATATTGTACATTTTCATGTATCTTAGGCAGTGGAACACTTTTAAAAAGTAAAATGACTACAGAAACGGGTAGTAAGGGGCACAACACGTCCTGTGTGACGTATACAATTAACCAAAAATCCATGTAAACATTAACGGTTAATTTTCAATGACCTCTTCCCCTCGTGACAACTGCTGTTTTGTTACCAGTCCAAGGTCTGTGAGTACAGTGCAGCTTTGACACAATGTGTCATCAGTTTACGGAATCAGAAAAAGCAACTGATCTAAATATGTGACCTAGGGTACCAGCACAGTGTGTTGGGAAAAAGAATCGTCATTATAAAATCACTATAGAAGAAATAGAAATAATGTGATATATTAAATATAACTTTAGAATATGAATTAAAAAAAAAATGTACCTCTCATATCTTTTAAATAACAATTAGAAAAGACAAGTTTGAAAATCACTAACTAAAATATAACATGAAGTCGATTTCAATAATTATTAAATCTTTTTGGCGAAGATAAAGAACAAGGATCAATGTCATAAAAATGCAGACTGTACAAGTATGTGAACAGCAGACCCCTGGATACTGTAGACGTACATTTTTCCACGGGGTCATAATTCCACGGAATCTAAGTTACTGTTTAATCCGTGGGTAGAAAATGACGTGTATTTCTTAGACTGTCACTATATGCTTTACATTTATATTATATTAAGAATGATTGGACAAATTTCCGCGAGAAATGTTTGACCGCGTACATAGCATAAATTAATACCACGCGGAAAAAAAGTATTTCTACAGTATTTCAAAGATGGGATCAGGTGCCCAGGAGGAGTAAGCTTCTACTGTTGTCCAGTCACACACTCCGTGAGCCATATGAATTAAGCAAGTAGACGGGACATTCTATAACCGAATTAACTACACAAAAATCAAACGATTCGTAAAAACACAAGTCAGCTAAAATATGACCCAGTGATAGAATGTAATTGCTACTTAAAACATTCTAACTACGATAGAATTTACGAAATGTTGACTTTAAACAAGGATGTTAAAATCCTTGTAACATCAAGAAAGGTATGGAGATAACGAACAGTATTTAATCTCAAAGTTCATAAAACAATACAAAATAGGTGCAGAACAAACATGGACCTCCAAAACATCAGAGGTGGGATCAGGTGCCATGGAGGAGTGAGCATCCCCTGCTGACCGGTCACACCCGCCGTGTGCTCCTTGTCATGATCGGGAAATAACGGAAAAATCCGTCGTCAATTCAGTTTATAAATAATGGACTAACAATTAATATGAAAAACGTCAGTCAGCATTTGACTCAATGATAAATTGTATTTGCTTGCAAGGTCATTGTATCAATTGATGTGTGAGTAGCCGGTCTGAGTTTGAAAATTGATCTTAGAGCATGCTTTTGAGTATCGAATAGGGTGATACATAAACACCGCATGCTGGTGATAGCGGAATATTGCTTCGTCAATAAGGAAAGTTTACGATGCAAAGCTTAGGCCATTTTGTATGTCATACAGTTAAGTTGTTTAGATGGTCTTTGTCCTTTCTAGTCAATAAAACATCTACATATGAAACAGATATGACAGACTTCTGTTGTGTCCCTCATTCTAAATTTACTGCGATAGATAGAGTCGACATATAAATGAAAATTGCTATTGTTAATTGATTAAAGGTCGTTGATTTATCTAAACGTCGAGTTGAAGGCCACAACAAGTGTTTTCCTCTTCTCATGTAGATTTTTAAAAAAAATGAATTCTGCTTTATAGAAATATAAAGACAGATCGGTTAATAAAATTATCCACTGGGATTCCAAGAATAGAGAAAAAATTGAAATTCCTTGTCCTTGCTTTACGTGTTTTGAGTGCAACAAGAACGATGTAAGTGTGGATTCCAACAATTTGTTGTAGACTTGGTCTCCAAAAGCTTTATAAATGTTGTCAATGAAAAATTCCAGCATCTTTTTAATATCAAATTCAGAGTAATTGTGTGTTGAATCAGAGTGATTTTAAGAGAAGTTATTATCGTACAGATATTAAATATATTCAATTTTGACAATTCAATGTTACAAAGATTGACTTTGTTTTGTAAAAGTTTCATTAAGAAAGCACCCATAGAGAGTGTAAATACATCAGTTACACATTCTGTAAGTTTTTCATCAAAAATAGATTTAAAATCAGCTTACAAAATTCATATGTCATTTTGGTATCTTAATACATGTAGATAGTTTTCGATGGGCCTGAATTTAGCAAGAGTTACTTCCCGTTGGCCGCCATACTGGAGGTCCAAATGCTAATATTCCTTCATTGTTCAACCAATTTTAAATTTTAATATTTGTTAATTTGAATTAGGAATCATTATTTTTCTGCAGTACAGCAAAACTCGTTTACTACGAACACGGATATAGTGAATTTACGGATATAGCGAAGTTATAATATTGTGGATCCCCAGGTTTATAAATTTAACGTATTCCTGATATGGATATGACGAATTACGGATATTGCGAAGTAAATTCATAGATCTATACCCGTGTCTTCGTTATGACCGAGTTTTACTGTATATAAATTTTTGGAAGCCTCCTTTATTTAAAAAAATATTTAATAAAGATTTTCCACCAAATATTTCTGTTATATTTTTCTTAAACTTGGTAAGACAAAGAGGAAAACTCACCGAGTCGACCTCCAATATGGCGGCCAACGGGAGGTAACTTTTGCTAACGAAAACTATCTATTATTAACACACTTTTACATGATATATCAAGACTATATACTAAGAAGTAAAATATGACAAAAAAGTTTTCTTTTGTAGTTAATTATGATAAATGTGTTCTTTGATCCGGCATTTAACAATTGGTAAATAAACATTAAAAAGAAACTTAAATGAGTACTCGTTCATCCCATGGAAGTCATAAACGAAATTTTTAACTTAAAAGGTAGAATATTCAGCTGAAATTTAAAAAAAAAATATATATGAATAATGAACATATATTGCAAAAAGTTGCAAAAAATACGACGACCAAATATGTAAAGCAGACATTAAAAATGTTATTGGTGTCAATTTTTATTTAACTCTGACACATGCATAAAATGCATTATACATGTATACATGTAGCTTTTTGTGATGTCATTTTACTTTTTTTCTAGAAATAAAAATCCTGCAATAAAGACTAAGAAAGACAACGTATGGGAAGTATCCTCTGCCTTAAACGTAAAAAGTAGAAATTATCAAGTTGCCAAAAAAAAAAAATATTTATAGCGAATCTTATCCTAGGCAGAAAGATTCGTAATAGCTTTAACTGCTATTACAGAAAAAGGACAACTTGTCTTTAAAAAAAAAAAAAAAAAAACAACAAAACATAAATATGGCAAACGAAGTCGAAATAAACATGCTTGATGAGTTTTCAATGGATCCTGCAGCTGATGAAAATGTTGATTCCACTGAATCCGCTCCTACCTCAGAGTCCAATCTTGTATCAGAATCAGGTTATGGAACCGACAAAGGCCTCACAAAGAGAGAGCTATCCTCTAGTCATATAGTGCTCTCTGACGCTACATTTCAAATATTCCTGTCAAACTTTCTTAAGTATCACAACTCGGTCAGCTTTCAACGGGAGGTTTTGACTTCAGTGTACGTGTATATTATATAATACAAAAAAAAGATTATGTTTGTAATACCCCGGTATGCATGTACATGTAGTTATTAGTTGTCTCTTTTCATGGCGTTTGGCAACGTACACGACAGAGAGAATACGTTTCTTTCTTCATGATATTTGGATCGTTAAATGAACTCTCGAAATGCTTAAAATTCTACACAGACTGTAATTGAAGGGATAGGCACTTCTTGGTCATTGATTGTACCTGTTTTCCATTTTCCCCGTTTCGTCGAAGTTTTCAAAGGGGTTCTTGTTCTGTTTCTTACTTTTCAAAATATATCATGACTGTTGCTTAAATTGCTTTATTACGATGTTAGGAATAGTTGATATAACAATTTTCTTTTCTTCTCACAAATGTGCATGTACTGCTTGGCATAGAAATTGGAAAATGCATATAAGGAGAGTATTTACATCAAAGGAAAATGTTTTCGGAATATTTAGAAAAATATGCTGTATAAAGGTATAAATATTGTCCTTATCTTATAATTTTCAACATTTTATATATCGAACTTATATATCTTTATGATAATGCTTTCTGAAAACATTTTATTAAATTTCTGATACAATAAACATAAAAAGTATCTTTCTTTAACGAAAAATGACTACATTTATTTTTTTTTAAATTATCCTTAAAATAGACGAACTATAATTCTCTGTAATTTTAAGATATAATTATTATAGATTTTTTCAAGGCATGATATTTATTTTGCAGCAATAACAACGACATGTATGTGAATAGACAGAATATGCGGCGGAAATTCGCCATGATTGTCCTGATCTGCCTCGTTCTGGCTTTTATCCTTTCCTGTGTCCTTATTTTAACACTCACACGGACAAAAATACGTCATGTTGGGAATTTACGCAAGCAAAATAGAACATCTATATGGAGTGGTATTGATCCAAGACATTTGTTTTTTAAAGATAGTGATTTTACAATCAAGAAACCAGTAGAAGATATGACACTGGGGCAATTTGTAAAAATACATACTGATTTGAACAATACAATGCGGAAAAATACGTCATGGAAATATGACCATTAATAAAAATACCGGTACTCAGTTGTTAAGAATGAATTTCAGTTTTATTTAAAAGCAGTTATTAACCAAACTATAGATTAAAGTGACGAGAACAGTTACTATATAAATTCATTTGAAATGAATTTCTTTGGGTTTTTTAAACAAAACAGAAAAAGAAATATCAATGAAAATGTTAAGCCAAGTTATAGTATTGCATATACATATGAATTATTTAAGAAAAATAAGCAATACATGTAATAATATCATGTCAGTTACTTACACATGTACATGTGTGATGAACTTCAGGCAATAAACCATATTCAATATCATTTTTATTTTAATTCTTTTGTTAATTCATTCGCACTTGTGTGTTACAATATATTAAAATAGAGAGGAAACATAATTCCAACAGACCTTTTACTGGTGATAATGTCGAAACCAAAGTTGACTAGTGTGGTGAACACAATGTAACGTAGTTTATATTTATTTAATACTGCACTAGGACTTTTTCAAATGTACATTGTGAAATCATAAAATTATACTTTACGACTGTTGCAATGCTAGAATGTTGACAATCTATAACACCTTTTACATATCTATCGTATTGATCGAATAATTGTCTGTTGGTTTTTGTCTCATTTGAGAATTTTTCACTCATGTAGAGACTCATGTAGAGACGTCATCCTATACCGGTAATGGTAGTCTATGGTTTCAAGGACTATTTTTAAAGCAACCCGTGGTGTATATTGCAATAAGAACACATTTTTTAAAGTAAAGATTTATTTTGATTTATTCGTGTAATATTTCTCCTCTATGGTCAGAAAGTTTGATTAGTCATATCAGATGAAAATATCAAGACGAGCATTTTTGACATTATTGACAGAAAGAATATCATTTGGAGATCGGTATTTAAAAATTCAATTTAACAATTCCTTACCAAAATACAAATCCCTCTCTTAAGCAAAGAAAAGAAACAAGAGCTACTTTATGACCCCTCTATTAATGAACTAAACATCAGTCTGTGCACAGTGCATTGTCAATTAACCCCTTCACGGTAACTGCGGTACTACTCTTCTGCAGAACAAATATGGATGGAGTTTATGTTGATAGATATAATAAATGACGTTTTTAATACAATTGCTTTCGAGTCACATCTCACCTGAGTACATTGTGCATCATCCAGGGCAAAAGAGCTGTACAACAGTTATCGTAAAAGGGTCTATACAGTGTCTGAGTATATGCAAGATGTATATCCAAAATGAGAAACTGAAGGAGTGGCAACATTTGTAACAACGACTATTGTGATTGTACAGATGATTCAGAACGGGGGGGGGGGTGTTCTTGACCCCCGTTCACACCGTGCTGCGACTTTACGACGATCATCCCGATCAAGTCACAATTAATCTGAAAAAGTTGTTGATCGGGACGAATCGGTGTCGATCGGCGTCTAAATCGAGCAATTTGGCAGATTATGGTCTTCATTACGACCGTACTACGATGTTCCTAAGTCAAACGCGCTGCTAACACGCTTCTACTTCGACGTTACGTAGACAGTTGCCGACCAGTTTACGCTACGCTGCCGCTACGACATTCAAGATCCTACTACGACGCTACACAGACCTGGATGACTGTACGACAATATCGCTACGGTAGTGCCGATCACATTACGATTGTATTACGCTTCTAGTACGACTATGGCGATGATGTATGTATATCTTGCAACCGCAGATTTTTCTAGTACGATTTTGGCGATGATGCAGATCTTGAAACTGCAGATTTTTCACGGCCTTTAGCATGTGGTTTATAGGGCATTTTCAATTGTAACTGTAACAAGATGTGAAAAGTTCGAAGTCTCAACTGCAAATGATCGTCAAGTATAGTGTCACCCTTTATATGTAGTTTACAAATGATAATCGGTCAAATATCAGTGGTATAAAAACAAACTACTGCCTGATAGGTCGTGGTATGATCGGCGTAATGTCATTGTAGGTTTTTTTAGGATCGCCAGGAACGTAGAGAGACCGTAGTGGGACGTAGTAAGAACGTACTGGGAGCGTTGTAGGAGCGTACTTGATAAGTTCGTACGCTTTCACTGCGCTTTTACTACGATAACGAAGATCTCTCCACGATGCTTCTGCGCTGCTTGTACGATTAAGGTGCTTCTACTACGCTCTTTTTACGACTTTACCCCGATTCTTGTTAGGGCTGAAACGATTCACCGAAATATCGATATTGTTCGATATAAGTGCTCGGTTCAATTTTCGATTCACCATCTCGATTTTCGGTTCGATACGTTTTTTTATAATCGGGTTTGGTTAACTCTTTGAAATAGATCGGGTTCGACCTTATTTTAACAGTTTGACACACACGAGGGAGAAAATTGGGACGGTAAAGTTTCAGAGTAGGCTGCCTCTGCTATTATTTATACGAATAAAGTGTTCTTAATCAACAGAACCACAAGTATCAGAGATGCAATTAACAAATTAGTAAATTCGGGCTAGTAAAAATTATAACTACGCATGTAATACATAAAGTACAAACGGTATTTTACTCATTTTTTGCTATCAAATTCCCAACCAGTGAATATTTTCCAGGCAACATGCTCCTACTGTCAATAAATCTCCATAATTTTCTCCATTTTGCAGTACTTCCTGACTTATTTACTTCCAAAAACGATCTTTTTTTTCCCTAATCCGAATTTCCTCCGTTTATTGTAAATACATGCAGATATCTCATTAAATTATTTACGATCACTCAATCAACTGAAAGATCAGTGTGATTCACATGAAATATATTTCTAGTGTATTTAAGGATTTAATATGAAAACAAAATGAATTTATTTTCATTCTAAATGAGCTAGTGCAAAATAATCAGAAAAGGAAAGATCTTCAGATATTTTTTATTAAAATTCATTTTTATTTTCTGTCATAATCATTAATTTCATATGATTTAATTTTAATAGTAAGAATAAAATTTTAATTTTCAAAAGATGACCTTAGTACCCTGACTTTTTCAATGATTAATTTTTTTTCAACATTTGTTTTATTTTAATTTTTGTCCCTATATTTGAGCTAATAACTTTTTACTTGGGGCTAGTAACTTTATTGCTGCCACTAGCCCGTGGGCTAGTACTTGAGTTTTTAAATTGCATACCCCTGGTAGTATATTTCTATTGTATCACCACCTTTTACTCTTTGTTTTTTAAATCTGAATACGTTTTCTTTAACCTTATGAATAGTTTCGTTCTTAAATTGTATCGTATTGAAAAAATTGAATTGTGACACAAGTATTGCAATACGTATCATATCGTGGAGGGGGCGTATCGTTTCAGCCCTAATTCTTGTCGGCCACGATTCCGCTACTCTTGTTTTGAGCATGTTAGAAATAAGCGTGGCGAGAGCGTAGAGCTCACCGATCATGAAGATCCTACCGTGATCATACTACGCTTATGAAGACTCCACTACGTTTCTCCTGCGATTTGTCACGATCGGTCACGTTTTCGGCCACGCTTTGATCGTAGTAGAAGCGGCGTCTATGTGTGAACTAGGCCCAGACATTGATGTCAGTGATGTCCTTGAAATCAGTTTGAATCAATTTTAACTTCGTCATTACTAATTACTGAATAACAGACGTCTTGTTCAATACACCTGCAACCAGTTAAAGAAATGTTATATTTTGAAAAGATAATGATTTTAAAAAAAGACTGTAGACAAAATTAAAAGCAAGATTGTGCAATATTTTTTCGACCGTCTCGACGTCAAAATTAACCGAATTAAAAAAGAATGTCTTGGTTCACTTGTAAAGCTCAAGAACTGTGCATTTTTTTAGCATTTCGTTTTTTATGAATAGATATGACGACTGGAGAAAATAGAAACGCATCACTGTATATACATGCGGGCCCTTTGAATTTTGGTTTGTAGAAGAATTTGAAAGAATATTTTTAAAAGATCTCCATACTGGATGATTTATTCCACAGTTATAACTTTGATGTTCTCTTTTATTTACCAGCAAAAAAATGATTTCATCTAAAAATGAAATTATGTGGGTCTCTCTGCTGATAACAGTTTCAGTTTTTGGTACTTTGAGGAAGGCTCAGACTTGTGAACAAAGAAATCATATTTTATAAAACGTCGCGAAACTATTAACAATAAGCAAAACCACTGTCCTAATATCATAAGGACTCCGGCCCTGCACCTTACATAGTCCTTTCAAATAAAAGTAGTGTTGTTATTCATATGAACTACTGGGTTTATTTTAAGAATAACTCTAGATCTCTTCGTGAATAGTTTGAGTGTAAAAGAATATAAAACTTCAGTTGATCATCCACGTACTGAGTTCTTGGGGTTTAACTTCTGGAAGGTTTCATTCTAAATGAGAAAACTCATCTTCAGAATGCCGAAGTCAGTTTCTGATTATTGTACCACAAAGGATAGACTGCATATTGTTTAACGTCCCATTTTAATCTATAAAAGCTAAAAATAGTATTACTTCTTAATTGCATATTCCATAACACTGTTTTTGACGTCTTTGTACTTTATGAAGTTCGTTTTGCAGTAAATAAAATCCATATCTAGACTGCCGTTATAGATAGCGCTGAAATATCTGCATTGGTTGCTCTTCTCAGGATGGACTCTAATATGGACATACTAGCTGTACATGTAAAAAATAAGGTCGAAGGTTAAACACAGTTAATCAAAAATAAATATATTCAAGAACAATTTATTCAACATTTTCTTTGCCCAGGGAGAGGAGTTTTTCTCTGCATGTACCTCCAATGTAAAATAATAATTACATGATTAAAAAGCAACAAATCCAATCAAGGTAAGTTGAAATATATTTCCCTCTCGGATAAAATTTTTTAACAAAAAAAAAAAAAACACTTCTTTTAACATCCTACTGTTAGGGTATTAGACATCTTTGCTAGCCAAGTATGAGGGAAACGAATCGGACACTTGGCTAGCGAAGATGGGTGTTAGAATGAATAAAGTAGAGATCATATAGACTGATCTATATCGGATCATCTACAAACAATACAGATATATGTATGTGAACAGCGCATAAAACATGGACATCCGGAAATTAGATCAGGTGCTTTTGAGGACTAAGTATTATTTGTCGACTAGCCACACCCGCCGTGAGCCCTATGCATTAATTGATGAGGTTCGCTGTATATTTCACAGTTAAAGAGTCAAAATGTACAGAAAATAGCAAAGTAGGCATCAGTTAAAAGAAAAACCTAGCAATATATTTGTATAACAAATTTCACATGAAATAAAACAAAATACATATATTACATTATAACAATGTGTAAAGCTGTATTTGAAATACATCAGTTAAAAAAAACCTGCTATATATATTCGCTAATAAGGTCATTTTAACTAACAATGAATAAACATTAACGTAATACCGGTACTGACTTTAAAAGATTTTGAAACAGTGTCTCTACAAGGAAAGTTGGAATGATGAAATAAAAACTGTCATTCTTTTTTCATGAAACTTAATTTTGTTTTTCATATAATTTAGCAGGTTCGATACGCAAGAGGATTCTTCACTTACGGATAATTTTTAGACGAGGTAAATTAGTGACAAACAAGTTGATGAACTTTACATTTTCGTTTAAGGTCATTTCGTAAGTTATATGGTCGATAAAATTTCCGATCATAACATAGATCACACGGTGGGTGTGAATAGTCAACACGTGATCCTCACTCCTACATGGCATCTGATCCCAACTCTGAAGTTTATGAGGTAAGTGTTTGCTTTGCTCCTTTTTTTGTTTGCATGAAATTTTGAGCTTAAACACTTTTCGGTATCTCCATATATTTTATTGCTAGATGGCACATCCAAAAATCAGACAGACGTGATAGTCTCGGTGGTCGTACATGTAAAGTTTCCTGCTATATTTTGAGTCGAAGTGTGAATGGAAGTACTTATTTACAAAATTTGTTTGCAAAACAACCCACAAGCGCAAGTCAACAATCGGTAGTAAATTACAGCCTTTTCAATTTTATAATCTATAATTCCAAAACAGGATTAATACACGTCTTTTTTAACAAATGTGACTTAACTTAAATAAATGATCAAATAATTTAACATGTCTTTGATTATTAACGGTAAATCATTAAGATTGAAAAAGTCACAAATTTTATTTATTCAATTAATATAGTGGTTAGTTGATGGCCGAAAATTATAAAAAATTAGAAACTACAAATAATATAAGGCAGTAATTTTTTTAAACTTCCACTTTTTACATCATACTGAAATATTACATCAGAAAATTAAATGCTGTTTTTTTTCATTTCTTAGTTTATCATCTTCAGATTGAACGTCTAAAGATAATTTAGTATTGTACATGTAGATGTGTACTCTAACGCAAGAAGTAAAAGTAAAAATCATCAGAAAACGTATGCTGCCAGTGTTTGGGATAATCTACGTAGAAAATGCCCCAGACAGAAATTCCTCTCTTCTTTTCATTAAATCTTGTCTTTCACTAATGATCTTTTCCTCTCTCGTTACCAGCTCTTTCTGCATATAAAATAAAGAAAATGTTATTTTAGTGAATAGTAAAACAATTTGAGCTAATTGAGACAACACATTTATTAACCTGTTACCTCTCTTTCCGTAAGGCTCTTCATTCTCTTTAGTTGTTCAACTTTCTTGAGGAGATTTTTGAATTCCTGCATCTTCTTCTGATAGACTTCGTGATTGCTGACATCACGATATTTCTGAAGCCCACTGTTAACCTTGACTGAAGACCCAGCTGTAGACATGATAGGCCTAGGTGTTTCCAAGGAAGGGGTCTCTTCAAGAGAAACATCGAAAGCTTTGGGACCAGACCAACTGAAGCCTACATAAAAATAAACTTTCTTATTCCACAGATGCCTCTGAGCAACGGGAAGTGATGTTGTTATCACTAGTGTTTCAACATTCCCTCGTGGACTCGTAATATCAATAATAACTTCCAAACCCTGTGGTTTCAATATTCCCTGCACTCTTTGAAGTCGATCTCTAACTTTTTGTTTTCGCCAGACTGAATCCCCACGAAAATATCGAGAATTGCCTTTTTCATGCAGATCTTCATAGTAAACTATCTCGCTAAATGTTGATCCACGTCCAAGGAAGAAAAATGTGGTGTCCCCTCGATGCAAGTAAGTGTCTTCACGCTGTCTTGGATAAATCTGAAGAAAGATTGTTTTCCATTTTTTGATAACATCCTGAAGCTGCTTAACTGTACACAGATCGTCTGCAAATTTTGCGTATCTTCGAACTGTTGGCCAATGCAACAAAGCAAGAAACAGATAGATCTCTAGAGACGGTCTTTCTTCAGACTTTCCTGTCATGTCTAGGGCCCGCTTAGTCCACTGCAGTAACCCTTTATACTCATCATCAGCGTTGTCCTTGTATAGATTCCTCACGATAGAAACACTCACCAGTTGTGTGATATCATTTACTGTGCAGTATGCCGAGTTACAGTTCTGAACCAGCAAAACCTCAACATTTCTGAGAATAACTGGACCGTCTTCTTTTGATTTTAGTCTTAGTACTGTTGTCAAAGTGTTTCCAACGAGTCGTCGAACTCTACGGCGAATAAATTCTGCCCTGTCTTGCTTATTCAGAGACGAAGGGATAACATCAGAATTCTCTCCAAAATAGTTATCTAAATTTTCTCGTAAGTACGTTAAAGAATTTCGTTGTGTAAAATCCGGTTTGCACACAGTTGCGTTGTTCATTATTTCACTCTTCAACTGCGAACTTTGCTCTTCAATTATTCGCATCACCGTGTTTGTTCGAAATTGAAAACTCTTTATTTTTTGTACTGCTTCTTCTGATAAACTCTGGCAGAATTTTGGTATATAATGACTATCATTCAGAAATCTTTTAAGGTTACCTGGGGCATTGGTTCCTGGGCAAAAATGCAAAATTTCCAGTAAAATCAGTACCGTGCGCATCTCAGCAAAGTACCCAGCGTCATTTAATTTGACACCATGTTCTTTTTCACTCTTTTCTTGTTCTTGATTAAATTTCTGTATTGCCTTAAAACCAAGCTGAATGGCCTCAACTGCATCTTTTTCTTGCAATTCTGACGATTCCTTTGACGTTTCTAGGTACATATCTGTTAACTGGCGTTTAAATACTTGACCATATGTATCCCACAAATACGAACTCTCTGGTTTCATCTGTGTTGCAATTTTTGCGAAATTTTCAGCTTTGTCCCAGTTTTTAGCATACATGTACAATCGTGCGATTTGCTGCGCAATCATAGCGTCGCTGAACATTTCAAATCCCATTTCTAAAATCTTTGCAGCATTATCTACACTTTCTTTACTTATCACTTCCATGATAAGTGGTGAAAAATATTCTTTTCTTCCATTTGACAGTAGTTCTCGCTTCTTCATGATATCTTTGGTGATCTTTTTGAGAGCTTCATATGACCTGTTGTACCGTTTAAAAACTGGAGAACCAAGGAAATGCATCATCATTTCACTTGTTGTCATGTGCTTCTTCAGTGAAATGTAGGCAAATATCTCGCTTGCAAACAATTGGTTAATGATGCAAAACCCTTTTAGCTGACTGCTACAATCCACCCTTGCACTCCTGTTTACAAGAACCAACAATGAAGGATTCAAATTTACTTCCCACGATGTTTCCCGGAATCCCCGCCTTTGTTGTGTGACAGAACCAAATGTTATTTTTCTAATGTTTTTGAAGTTTGTCATCATTGGATCAAATGAACTGATTGGCACAGATTGGAAGTCTAAATCAAATGTATTCATCAGAGAGAGATAACAAAGCAGAGCTTGTTCTTGCTCGCCTTTAATATCATCCACAAATTCTTGAACAGCTCTCTTTATGTAATCCTTGTTAAAATTTTCTTTCAGCATGTTGAATGAAATAAGTAACATTGGGTTAACGCCGCCTTCAGTCTTAAACTGCTTTTGGAGGTGTTCATTTTTGCGTTGAAACCATTTTTGTTCTTGAGGATTTAACTCATGGCGTAACTGAAACGTATGATCAAGTAAATTCCTTGGAAGATTTGCACGTCGAAAACAAAGTAGAAATACACAGTACACCTTGCATGGTGCTTCACTTCTTCTGGAGAGGATCCGTGCTCTATTTTCTAACCGGGCGAAGAGATTTGTCAATTTTTCCTCATCTTCATTATCTATGAGAATAATTGGTGGCTTAGGGTTTTCCGATTCTTCATAGTATCTGAACTTTTCGATCTGGTCACAAGTTTGGTCCGTAATTCGACGAGCTACCGCGCATCTATACTTTGTCCGAAGTTCCCATAAAACTTGTTTAGCAGAAGTAGTGCCACCTGCACCTGGCTGATGAACTAACCGAACAATACCAACTTTGCTGTCATCGTCTATTTCATTTCCCTCACATACGTTGCAAATTTCCTCCACTAGACGTTTGTGCATGTGGCGTTTTAACACGTGGTCTTCTTTAAACCAAAGATTCCACCATTGCACAACACCTCCTCTAAAGAAGGCTTCCTCAACAGTCTTCCTATGCTGTTCTATATCATCTTTTGCAATGTTTAGATCATTATCGCACTCATTTGAACTCAAAATTTCAAGATCAAACAGTTCATTCCTTGTTTTTTCCTTCAAGCGACAAAATCCACCATGTGATGTTGGAATTTCACTAACAGATGTTGCTTTTGTTCCCATGACTTTTTTGATCATTTCGTTGACATGTTTCCATGGCATCCCAATTATGCATCTTTTGTCTAGAGTCTTCTTATCTACACTTTCTCTGTCCAATAAATTTTGTTTCCAGTGGTTTGCAATTGATTCATTTGTAGCAAGAAGGAGCCATTGATCTGGGAATTTAGATAAAACTTCATCTGCAGCATCCAGCATAATGTCATAGTTTTTCGAGAAAAGTAGAAATACAATTAAAGCACGGTCTTCCGGTATTTCCCCATAGAAAAACCGTATTGCCTCTTTAAATCCATTGCTCCTGCTTTGTTTCCATGCTAATTTTTTGAGAGGATCTTTTCTAATGGGTTGATAACCGTTGCAAAATACCCATGGTTTGATGACAGTTGTTCTAAGATCTTCCAAGGCATTATTTAAGGCATCTTTACCCGAGTTTTCTTCACTATTTTTATCAAAGGTATCAGTAGTTAGAATTTTAAAAATTTTCTCCTGGTCATCTTCAACAAAATGGAACATGCCTCTTCCTTGGCTACAGGAATCAAAATCAAATATAACACTCGGATCAATGTCATTTAGAAATTCAAAATTTTCTGCAACGAATTCCTCTCCCAGATCACTTTCCAATGGACTCAAAAACAAAATAGGATAAATCTCCCCCAACAATTCTTCATTACCAGATGAAAATAAATTCAGAAATTGTTGGCGAAGGTCTTTAGACTTTGCGGTTGACTGGATTCTATTTTCTTCTTGAATCCTGCGTTCCTGGTATATCTTTGACTTAGCAGTCATAAAAGAATGTTCTTGTTCTCCTGTCAAAATCATTGGGTTAGCTGTTCCCTTTCGAAATCTGAACAAGCATCTTTTGGGTCCTTCCTTTGAGGACACTTTTTTCACAAAGAATGCAATTTCTTCGACAAGGCTAGAACTAGGAATGATGTCAATTTCAACAATGAATCGTTTTCCCGACTGGCATTCCTCAAGATCTGAACTCTCTGAATTTACAACTCGGATAAACTGTGGTGGTTGTACGCATCGACTTACAATTTCGAAATCATCGTCAAAGAAGGCATTCCGTATAGCCTCAAATAGACGCCGTTTTATCTTTTGTTTGTTGGCATATATCCCAATTATATTTCCCTTCAAAGTGCTTTCATTGGGCAGTACCTTCACTCCAAAATGAATGGTACCATTCACACGTTCATTTAAACAGCTAGCTATGTATGGAATGGAAGCTTTGGCGATCCAGTCTGGAATCATACTTTCATCCATGTCTTCGTACATGAAATTATGCACCGTTTCTAATAAACTGTTAGTGATTTGGTTTTCTGATGTAAGGATGGAATCAAAAAGATATTTATCTCTGTCATTCGCTGCAAATCCAAATTTTCTAAAAGTTTCACGAAATTTGTCTGAAACCGGATAATCTGTTGAATATTCTTCACCTGCATCAGTGTCTTGAATATCCGACTGCTCTCTTTCTAAGTTGTCAGGGAACAGAATGCCATTTTTTTCTTCTTGGACCATTTCATCACGAACGTTTAAGATGAGTTTTCTTTGTCCAAATGAAATGTTAGAAAAACGTTCTTTCGGAAACAGGAAATGCATTTCTTCCATGGAAATCGTACAAAACACTTCTCCATTAACGCCCTCGTCTGCAAAGACTTCTAATATTGATTGATCGATACCTTTTTCTAGAAACCTGGGTTTCAAAATACCGCAAAGGGCATTTTCGTCTTTCTCCTTTAATGGTTTTATGACTGTAGACTTTCCTTGACTTTCAATACCTATTACAAAAAAGAAAAAAACAAAAGATAAAACAATTATGTACAATCGTGAACTCTTACGGTTTAATGTAGTTCGATATTCAGTAAAAAATACTTAAAATTACACGCAGCATACTCGAGGTCAATACTGATCTTTTTCTGCCTTATAAAGTCATATAAACTGTGAAAAGTAGATAACTGCTTTTCTACGTGGTCCAGGGTGTAATAAAGAATTTGGCAATAAAGGCTCATAGGGAGCTCAAGAGGGCGAAATAAGTTTTTTTAGACCTTGTGCCCAATCCCATTGTTTATATATATTGTAATAAACTACGTCCAAATCAAACATGAGCTTTATAAGATAATAAAGCTGAACTATTAATAGTTTCCCCTACGATGTGTAAGCATAAGATATCTTGTTACCTTTCTGATTTTTTGATTTCTTCTTTCTAGCAGGTATGCATTCATTTTTCCGATCAATTATACTGTCATCCTCTTCACTCGTATAATCTATTTTCCTTCTAATTCCACAGATCTTTTCTTTTCTATGGAGGAATGATAGTAAGTAATAAAACTGTATTAAAGCAATTTAGTCGATATTACATTCAAGTACCAACGATCATTTAAATTAAGATTGATCTCTCACAAGGTTGAAAGTACCTTCTCTTCCGTTTGTATAGTGAGTCAGGAAACTCTTCCTTCAGTGCTTTGTCTATATAGTCCCAGGTCTCATCGAAGGTCTGCTGTCGCTGACTGAATTCATACTGTATGTCTCCTACAATATCCTCTTTTATCACAAAGCAAGTATGATCTGCCCGTTCATAGTATTCATGCAGAATCTCCTTTAGAGTGTTGAGTGTCTTCTGTTCCTCTAAAATGAATTACAAAATGGTAAGGTGGACAATAGTTGCATTAGTTTACAGGAAAATTACAAGTCTAAAATGTTAGCAAATCTTAAAATAAGTAAAAAAAAAAAAGGACATGATGCGATCGAAAAAAAAAACTTAAAAATTAATTAGTAATACTGTTTGAACATTCCAAATTTAATTGTCAAAATCCAAAAAAAAAAAAATGCTTTTTATGACTTTATTATGAAGCATATCTTCCAACAGTGTAATTGTCTTGCAAATTACATCATAGGATTCCACTAAACACCTAGTATAGCATATATAACATTAGTTTTATCTCTTATCATATCTCTGTTGGTGAATTGGGCATACATTTGTTTGCTGAACTTTAATATTACTTGTAGAATTGATTTTGTAATTTAAGAATTGTTTTATTTTTACTTTCGAAATTTTTGTAGAGACCATTTGTGCCACAAAGAAATTGTTCAGGAAAGGGAGAAATGGTGGATTTGCATTTTGGGTACAGTTCAAAGAGAGTTCAAAATGGTCAAGCTCATGGAAGATCAGAGGGAGGACAACTGAAGAAAACTGAAAGATACAGAAGGAAAAAGAACAAGAAAATATATGAAATAATTATGAAATTGGGAGGATGTACACAATCTTGTCTGCATTTGACCTGTAAAGATTTAATTCCCATTCTTATTTGTATGCTGTAGTATCAAATAACTTGATTTTTCATAAATTTACCATAGAGAATACATGACAAATGTTATATGTGATATTTCAATTTTGCTTTGGACACTTTCATGTCAAATCATATAAATTATAAAAAAGTACATGGACTAATTATGTTATTCATTTGTACATGTATGCATGTTTAACTATTTAATCATTTTGTGGAAATCTTATAATTGTACTCAACTTAGAATATGTAAAATATATGTATCGACAAATGCTACTGACTTGTTTGTATACTTTCCTGTTTAGAAAGTACACTGAAAAATAAGTTATTTCTCTTGATGAAAATAATTTATCAAAAAAGTTGTGTAAGCATTTTAAGATATTAATTTTCAAATATTTAACCCATGATGATAGATCATTGGAATGTAATGGATTTTCATCTAAAGCAGAAATATATGATTTTTAAATGTGTACAAGAATGTGTTTTTCCTTGTGATAAATATTGAAAGAGAACACATGTAACTATTTCATATGATTTACATATGCTGCCCTTTTCATATGATTCACATATGTGGACAGACATGAAAAAAGTATAAAAATGATAATAAGTACAACAGTAATATTATACACGTATAATTCACATATAAAGTATAACATATATAAAACACATGTTTAACACATGTTACATATGTATAAATATACAATGTGTTTATTTTTACACATGTTAAACACATGTGAAACATATGTTTAACATGTGTAAAAATAAACACCCTATACATGTGTGCTCCTTTTATGTGTTTTACATGTGTAAAAAATATATGTTAAACACATGTTTAACATAATTATTTCCTGTGTATCTTTTCTCAATCAAAAGTTAAAGGGAAAAAATAACATTTTTAAAAAGTAGATCAAACATCAAGGTCCATGGTCACAGGGTCAAAACTCATAGTGTATTTAAAAGGGTCTTGTCACTAGTAATACACCAGTGTAATATGAAAGTCTTATCTCGTTTCATTAAATATTATGACAAATTTAAAGTAATGTTTAAATTTCTGAAAATTAGGTCCTTCTTCAAGGTCAATGGGTCAAAATCATAGTGTATTTAGGAATGATGTCTTGTCACAGGTAATACGCATGTCTAATACAGAGTTCTTGAAATCTTTCGGTCCTGTCGGCAAAACCGATAAAAACAGCCAAGGACCGATTACTTTGCGTTCTGTGTCAGTCCAAATGACCGGACGTTGTTGACAGAGGAACTTGCCAAAATTTTACTATAAATCGAGCGATCGTAATCTTTCAAAAGCTTTTCTGCATCTTGCAATGGCTTCTCGATATTTAGAGAGAATGTTCTATCGTTAAAATGATAAATGTCCTACGGACCCGGTTTAATGATAGAATTTTTTTCCGTATATTCACTATATAGCAAAATAAACATGGGCAATAACTCGAACTCAGTACATTAAATTTACTACGAAGATTCCAGAGAGTTCCGAATGCAAACATGGCGTGTAAATTTGAAGCGAGAAAAAACGTAAAGAAAATTAGTTGAATTATCGTCTTTATTTATATCAGTTTTTAGGTTTAAAGGCATACGCGACCTAAAAAAGGTTTGTTGTAATTAATTTTGAAGTTATTCCCAGTGCAAATCCTTTTGTATACTTCAAATGCGTTTTGGAGCGATTCTGCAATTATTTATTTCCGAGATACAGATAATTCTAACTAGTGCCAAACTATTACAGTAACTATGATTGGTAAACTGTTAAAACAAGTTTGTTGACGGCGCTAGGGTAAGAAGTGTGCATTGTATATAGACGCCGTTTTTATTGATATCAAAATACAATTTTCATGTTTTTATTGAATTTATTTTGGACTGGTAGAAATCTGTCTGGACTGACAAACTATACATGGCAGTCGGTCCAAATGACTGACCGTGAAAAAAAGATTTCAAGAACTCTGCTAATATGAAAATCATATCTCTTCTCATTCAAAAGATATGAGAAAGGTTTAAGTTTTGTGACAGACAGAGAGACTCACAGACTGATGGGCAGACAGACGAAAGAGATATTTAATATCCCCTCGCTTTCGCGAAAGCGGTTGACAAAAAGAAGGAGTTCCTTGAACATTATTGTTATTATTTACATGCATCATTTAAAGCATCATCTATTTGACCCAACGGGAATTAAAATTTTCATGCTCAAAAAGTGAATAATTATGTAGAAATAAAGTCCAATAGTTATAAATTCTGTAATATACTTGAGTATTTTTCATTACTCGGATCTTTTTATATAATTACAGTCATTTTTCTTTGACTTTGCATAAACATTGCTTCTGATGGGAATGCCTTTCGGGTCATAAAATATTCAAAAAGGAATTTGAAATGAAAGAAGTCTATTGAAAGATCGTAGCTTGGAAAGTATGCATATGGGTACTTACCGGTAATTACGTTTAAAACATTTTCATTACACAGATTTTTTTTTTATTCAAACGTTAAGAACTTCTCGTTGGCATCAATCGGAATAGGGACTGCAGTTTTGTATTTGTTTTCCATAAATTCATTGTTATAGGTTGAAAAGTATAAAAGGATAAAAGGCTTTAAATAGAAACTTTCGTTAAAAGTTTTAAGGATACGATTTTTTTAATCAAAAAATTAATCTTAATTTATCTTAATTTTAAGGATGGCGTTTCTTCGGTGTTTTAAATGAATGTCAAGAATTGAGGTTAACTCGTGTTACAGAAAAATGTCACTCCATCTACTTACATGTAGAACTGCGATCGTAATGGTCTAATATACATTCAAATGACCAGGTAAATAATCTGTTTTTAAACAGACAATATACTAGTATGACATTTTGCTCAAAATGTTCTTTATAAACCAAAAAATAAACATAATGATAATAAAGTCTTGAAAAATACACGAGAAATGTAAATATAATAGAAGAATGATCTTTAAAAAACTACAAGGAAAACAAATCTTTGAACAGAACATAAAATCGGACAACCGAAAGTTGCAGAGGTGGGGTCAGGTGCCAAGGAGAGGTAAGCATTCCCTCTCGACAAGTCACACACGTCGTGAGCCTTTGTATTTGATAATGTTAGACGTATTTTTTTATTTTAGTATGAAAACAAGGTCTAAACAATAAATATGAAATATAATATATAGAGATAACGAACAGTATTCAAGATCAAAAGTCCAATAAACAATGCAAAACTGGAGCAGAGCAAACACGGACCTCCAAAACACCATAGGGGGCATCAGGTGTCATGGAGGAAGGAGCATCCCTTCCAACCGGTCACATCCGCCGTGTGCTCCTTGTCATGGTCGGGAAATAACGGAGAAATCCGTTGACAATTCACTGTGTGTGTATATAATGACCCATTTATCCCCTAGATCAATTTCAATCAACTTGTCAAAGGCAACATTGGAGTTACAGTGTATCTACAATTTTTCTTGATTATTATACAAGAAGCACTCAGCGGCTATGACCGGTGTTTAGGAATTCTTTCTCCTTTATGGCACCTGATCTCACCACTGGTGTTTTAGTGGTCCGCGTTTGCTCTAATCTCAATTTGTATCGTTACGATAGACTATTGAGCCTGAATACTTTATTGTTAATTCCACTTTTCATCTGAATTTAAAACCATGAGACAAAAATTCAAAAATGACAAAACAATAATTTAATCCAAATTCCTTCAATATTACTAGAGTGCATCTTTGTTGTGCACATTCTTTTTTTTTTTTCAAAAAGAAAATCACTTCATTTTAAAAACAATATTTATTAATTACATAGTTATTTTTTTCTTATTTTTGATCACTGTTAAATTTAAGATTATTGTACTCATTTGCAATCTTTGTCAAATACAACCCTATTTAAAAATGTGGTATTGTGAGGTAAACGATACTGCCGTCTCCTATAGGAGGCGGGGGTATCGTTTAGCTCACAGTACCACATTGGTTGATTAAAATAGCAGAGTCCATGGTTTGCTCGAGGGGGGGGGGGGGTAATTGTCAGATAAAAAAGTAAAAAATGAGGTGCCTAATGGATTATAATTAAAAAATCTACTAAAGTAATTTAAATTTTATTCAGTGGTATAGCAGGAGTCGCGGATAAGAAATGGGTACCTTTTAATATTATCGAATCCTTGCGAATGGCAGCGTTTATGTTTTGCCATGTAAAACCCGAAATATGTGATCAAAGAGTAGAATACAAGGTGCACACTGGCACTATGTACATCATTATATAACAAAGATTCTGTGATATGGAGTTGTAGCGTAAGGTAATACTGAGCTGTCTGGAGCTTGCTCATGAAGATCACATTCAGTTTTATCAAACAAGGTTTCAGTTCTGATTTTGCAATTATATATTCTTTCAAAAGAAAAGGGAGAAAAATTGTCGTTGTTTTGATTATTTGCAAAGCAAAACTTATGCACTTTTGTGACCCTTTAGGTGAATGTTTGTAGATCTTTTCTTGCTTGTTAAAGACACTTTCATTTGCCCTCCTTGGAATTACGAAATCTTGGGAGTAATAACAGAGAGACGGTGCATATATTATCGATTTAAAACAGCTATTGAATTTCTTTTGTGGGTCATCATGATTAATTGCAATTGCGTGTATTGATTTAGTTTGTTATGCTATAACAGCACCTTTGGAAACGGCCTTCTAAACAACTGAACCAAGTTACACTTTAGCAACA